CGCTACCGACTGAGCCACGCGGGTAAAGAGAAAGCGCACGCCCGTTTGCATACATAAAGGCGAGGACGACAGCTGTACGCAGAGTGACATTAAGCGATGTACACCGTGACGGTAGAATGCATACTCTAGCTACAAAAAAACTACGAAAAATCTCTGTCCCCCCACCTTTAAACTACTGTAGTTATCGAGATATGCGCCTTTAAAGTTGGCGCGTCTCCCCTAGGAGTGGCTCTGACTTTAAAGGTGCATATCTCGAAAACCAAAAGACCCACAAAACAATAGTGAACTACCGAAATGTATCACCTTTAATGTTGCAAATTTAGATGTTAGACAATTAGTGACCAGCTGCTCTAGTTTTAGAAACATGCGTCTTTAACCATTTGGTACGTTCTCATGAGAAACTCCGCCCCATTATATGGTTCCTAAAACGTCACTAGGTAATAGGTGAAGGAGAAATATAAATCAGATTACAAAAATCAAATTTTTATAGTTATTTGCCAGCCAGGATGTGAAGATAGTGAGGATTCCTAAACGGGAGCTTATTTAAAACTTTAGAATTGCGGTTTTCGAGGTTTGGGTGAATGCGCCAACTTTGAAGGCTCATATCTTCAAAACTAAAAAATCTAGAAAAGTTTTGCTAATTACCAAAATATAGATATTGAACTTTTACATATTTTTGTAATGGACACTTTTTTTTCTAGCTACTGTAGTTTTTGAGCTATGCGCCTTTCAAGTTGGCGTGCCCTCTCCGCTCGGCGCCTGAAGGAGAGAGGGGGGGGGGGGCATTTTTAAAGTCACATATCTCAAAAACTACTGTAGCTGGTAAAAATTGTCAAGTACAAAAATGAAGTTCCAGGTTTGCTCTACATGTTCTGAAAAGTTCAGAAAGATATAAAAATTCTAAAGTGTTTTTCAGATCAACGAACACTGATCAACTTGAACTGTCAGGATCAAGTTTTCCAAAAAAAAATGTTGGATCAAAACATTCACGCAAACTTTTCCAAAATAAGAATTTTAAATCTTTTTTAAAAACATCACGATTTCTCAAAATACTGATAAGGTGATCGTTCAATTTTTCTAATCCATGGGGTAATCCGAAAAGATACTTTCAAAAATAGAAAAAAAACATGAATTTGAGATCAGTTGACGAATTTCGAATCGAAACTCCACGAGTTTTGAAAAGTGATCAACTGAAATTAATGAGAAAATCAAAAATCAGATCAACCTAGAAAAAAAATAGGCTGAAAATCTGAAATTAATGAGGTTTCAGAGATCAACCTAAAAAAGGGCCAAACTGGAAAAAGAAAGTGTTGTTGACATTGAAAAAGACTTATCAGAATCTTTTTGATCGGTTAGGAATCTTCTTTTTTTTTTGGTACTGGTGGGTCGGTTTGTTTAATCCGTGTATTTGTTCAGGCTTTGCACTTGTCTCTTTCGGGGGGTTTTTTCAAAGGGACACACCTTGGAAATTTGTGATAGAGGAGACCGAACACTGATCGTTTGGGGGAAGTCTAGAGTCTTGGGATTGTCTGAGAAGTTTACAAATTCGAAACTCGCAATTCAGAATTCGGAATCTGGAATTCAGAATCAGGGTATATGGAATTCAGAATTCAGAATTTGAAATTTGAAATCCAGAATCAAGAGTTCGGAGCCTGGCATTTTGGGAATCAGAATCAGATGCTTTGGAATTCGGAACCCATAACCAAGAATTCCGAATTTGGGTTTTGGATATAGGATTTTTGAATTCGGGACCCAGAAAGGGGACTTCAAAATATGAGATTCGGAATTCGGAATCTAGATTCTGGAATTCAGAATTCGGAATTCATTATCGAAAATTCGAAATTAGAAAGTTGGAATTCAGAACTCAGAATCTGGAACTTTGGAATTCGATATTGCGGAACTCGGAAATTGAAAGTTGGAATCTTAAACTTGAAATAGAAGCTTGAAATTTGAAATTCAAAATTCAAAATTCAGAATTCAGAGTCCAGAATCCAAAATCAGAAATTTGGAATTCGAAATCCAGAATTTAGAACCCAAGGATATTTAAAGGGGAAAGTCAAAATTTGGAGAACTTTCCAGAAAAAGGGCTTCAAAAAAAGACAACAATAATTCTGAAGAATTGAGAAAAAGTTCTAGACAACAGCTAGCGAAAAATTTGAAAATCAATGAAAAAACCATAAAACATTTTTTTTTCCCTCCATTTCTTTTCTTATCAGTTGAACAATTTTCAATCAGAAAAGAAAATTGGGAATTGTGTCAGACAGGCTGGAAGAAAAAAAAACAGCTGGAATTTCATTTTATTACAATAATTTTCAGATTTTCCTCAAAAAAAAATCGGTTCATGGAATCTAGAGAATTTAGAAAGACAACAAGGAAATCGGGACTTTTAGAAAAATGCAAATTACCATTTTATTCTAATCAAATAGAATTTCCAGAATTTTAATTTCCAGAAAAAAAATATGATTTCTGATCTGAAAACTTTTGTAGAGCAGCTGAAAATAAGGAATAGAATAAGGTTATCAAAATCACATGATTCTGATTTATATCATAAGGAAATAATGTTGAATTTGAAGTTCATTGAAGTGCATTCAGATGAGAATTTTCAGAATTTTCGAGAAAAAACATATCTTGTGATATCTATTTTTGATTTTAGAACTAGAAAAAATTTGCATGGTACTACCTAGTACTAACTGAATCCGCATGACTGGATTTGGATCATATGAATAGAAAAAATAGAAGACGTATAAATTCTTGTAAAGTTTAGGGGATCACTATTCAGAGAATATTTTAATCAGAAGTTAGGAAATGCAGGAATTCGTAAATTTTAGAAAACAGATTTATAAAATATGAGAATTCCGACATTTTAGGAAATTCAGAAAAGCAGAAATTCAGAAAAGCAGAAATTCAGAAATTCAGAAATTCAGAAATTCAGAAATTCAGAAATTCAGAAATTCAGAAATTCAGAAATTCAGAAATTCAGAAATTCAGAAATTCAGAAATTCAGAAATTCAGAAATTCAGACATTCAGAAATTCAGAAATTCAGAAATTCAGAAATTCAGAAATTCAGAAATTCAGAAATTCAGAAATTCAGAAATTCAGAAATTCAGAAATTCAGAAATTCAGAAATTCAGACATTCAGAAATTCAGAAATTCAGAAATTCAGAAATTCAGAAATTCAGAAATTCAGAAATTCAGAAATTCAGAAATTCAGAAATTCAGAAATTCAGAAATTCTAGGAAATCCAGAAATTCTAGGAAATCCAGAAATTCAGAAATTCAGAAATTCAGAAATTCAGAAATTCTAGGAAATCCAGAAACTTGAAAATTCCTGGGCTACCGTAAAACCTGTATTAAAAGGACCAGCCCTTCTATTAGAAAGCTCTTCTAATTCAGGTTTCACGGCAAACCTGGAATTCCAAAAGTTTCAGGAATTCAAAAATTCAAAAATTCAGAATCTTGAAAATTTCAATGTTACAGTAAAACTTGTATTAAAAGGGCAGGGTCTTCTAACCCTTAAAAAATCAAGAATAAAATTGTTTTTGTCGAAAAAACGAAGTGTTGAAAAAGTGACACTTCTTCTTTATCTTGTTTTTTTTCATGGAAATTTGAGATGTTTTACACTTTAGAAATGTGATGATTGAGAAAAAAGAAAGAAGAATCTGAGGGTGTGTCTGGAGCACTTTCTATTAGTAGAACTAGATTTTTGATCTTCCTTATATATAAAACGCTTCACGCGTCTGTTGGTCCTAGTGCCGCTTTTGGAAAAAAGCTGAAAAATGAATATAGATTTCAACTTCAAAAAGTTAGGAACCATTCTTCTCAAAAAGGAAAAACCAAAAATCACAAAGTTCTTCAAAAATACATTGCTTCCTGACCCCCTATAATCCCTCCAGTCTTAATACTATGATTTCAAGTTCTCAAAAAAGCAAAAACTAGACATAAACATTTGAGAATCAAAAGAGAATTCAAATTTCAAAAATTTCGAGATATTAAAATTTCAATTGGAAATTCAAATTCAAAATTACTCTTGTCAAAAACTATCTATAATTTTTCCTCTTCGTTTTCTTTTTTTTTTCTTTTCTCTCCATGTCAAAAAATGTTTCCTCCCCATCCCATGAGCAACTGTCCCTTTCCTCTTCTCTGCGTCTCTCGATTTCCCACACACTCTCACTTCCTAGAAGAAAAAATGTCACAAAATGAAAATATCAAAAGGTCGAAGACTAGGGACAAGACGAAAAATAAGATGGAATAGATTTATTGGTGTTGGTGACACACTTTTTAGAGAAAGAAGTTTGAACAAATTGTTGAAAATTGAAAAATTGAAAACATGTGTTTAGGATAATTTGATTTTTTAAAGAAATCCCAGAGCATACTAAATAAAAGTAGAGCTTCATTTTCTTAGTTGACAACTTTTTTGTAGCTACCGTAGTTTTTGAGATATGCGTCTTTGAAGTTGGTGCGCCCTATTCTCCTGGCGCCAGGGTAGGTGGAAGCAAGCAATCTTTAAAGGCGCGTATCTCCAAAACTACTGTAGCTAGAAAAATTGTCAACTACAAAAGCATTTAACATTTTATTTCAAGCATTTTTTAGTTGTCAATTTTTTCGTAGCTACTGTAGTTATCAAGATATGTGCCTTTAAAGTTGGCGCCCGTCCTCCCTGAATGATAGAGAGAGAGAGAGAGAGGGGGGGGGGGGGGGGGGGAAGTGATATTTTTAAAGGCGCATATCTCAAAAACTAAAAAACCTAAAAAAACATTTATAACATTGAAAATGTGTAAAATTTAATTTTACACATTTTTGTATTTGGCATCTTTTTTCCAGCTACGATAGTTTTGGTGATAGGCGCCGTTGAAGTTGGCGAGTGGCGGGAGGAGTACAAGGGAGGCAAAGCTCTATTCAAATGCGCACTACTTTAAACCTACTGTAACTAGAAAAAATACTGACAACTACAAAAATAAAGCTCTATTTCTGTAATACATAAAACGTTAAAGAAAGATAGACTATAAACACTTTCTACACCTAGAAATGCCATTTTCATCACAAAACGAGCATCTCAAAATTAATCCAAATCGAGCTTCAGAAGCAACATGATGACGTCGACTTCCATGACACATTCTACACACCACGTATCCACGATTCCCACATTCTGAACACTTGGAGTTGGCAGAGGACGTCTGGAATATTGTTTTATACAGTAATCTTCAAAAGCTTTTTTTAAAGACCTTATATTTCTCCAGTATTCTCTCTAGCACTTTTGAATCGTTTAACTCCACAATTGTTTTCTCATTCTAAAATAAAAATTGAATTTCAGAAAAGAAAATTTCCAAAAAAGAACCCCCAAAAAGTATCCGTCCACATAGATCAAGGGGAGGGAGTCGAAGATCAGTTCTTTTTGAAAATCCTGATTCAATTTCAGCTTTTCAGCCAGTTCTGCCACGTGGAAAAGGTTGATATTGAGGTCACGGACCTCGAATTTGACCCGGAATGCTTCTAGAAGAGAGGTCACTGCCTTACACCTGTCAAAGGATCTTCTGAGCACTCCACACGACGTCAGGTAGACGACGACTCCAGAATTTTTTCCAGAAGCTTCTTCCATTTTCCTTAACGCATTCTTCACTAGATTCTTCCTTCCACGAACACTCCCATTCCGTTTTAACATCACACTTCGCATTGTGTTGTTGTTTAGATCCTTGAGTATTTCAGAACATGAATCCTGGAAGATTGGGATTGAATTTGAGGAGCGAACTCGTTCTACTAGACTCTCACCAGCTGTAATTTCATCTGATGAAGCTCGCGGAGCATTTCCAGACATCGTTCGGTGGTGATGGGCATTTTGAGAACAGTAATTTATAGTTAAAAATCTCAAAAAAAGTCAAAATGACTTCCCAAACGGAACCTTAACCATACAAAGTCAACAAAAAGGTGACAGACAGATAAAAAGGTGTGGAAGTTCTGATATATTTCTGTTTATTTGTTTAGTATAGTATAACCACAGAGACACTGTATATTTATTTTTATAACCTCAGGTTTGATAAAAGAGGAATAGAAGAGTTGGTGGACGGGAATTTGAGTGATTCTGAAAATTCACTTTCTGGTTTTTTAAAGTCTTTTTTGAAGATTTCGATATGCTCATCACTTCCTAGCAACATCTGGAAATGCTCTGAAAACATGAAGTCCAATTCATGGACTTGTTCAGAATTCCTCTAATACAAAAATCGGTTGTTTAAGGTGTCGCGAATTCAGGTGACCGAATATCACCTCTTCCCGACTTTTTCTCCTTTTCAATGAATTCTTCTTTTATTCCCTGTATTTATGTAATTATATTCACCAACGCCGACGCCGCCCACAACAATGCCGATTTGAATCACCCGCCAATTTGAGGATTACTGTACCCTGCACATCTAACTCTCAACGCGAACCAAGGAATTGCGCCCGCTTTTGGGATCAATTTGGACTCTTCAGTCATTCTAGTTTCTCCCCCAAAACCCATGTTTCTCGTTCCTATTTTTACCTATATTTTATATAATATTATTCTGGTGTATTCTTGTCGGCAGAGATGATTCTGGCAACAGAATCGTTTCCGTTGTAGGCAAAGTTAGGTCAATAAATTCGGTGTGTCTTAAATTCTGTGTTCTTGTTGTCTTTTCTCTCTTTTAAGGTTTGTTGTGTCTCTAGGGCTGTTTTAGAGCAGTATGACTGCAAAATATGGTGCATTTCCGACAAAAATTAAAATTATTTGAGACCAATAGACATTTTGAGAGAGAATTTTATGGCAGAGCATAGGGACATACAAAAGACCTGTTTAATCAATAACAGGCACAATACTCAGCCCATTACAGCGTCGAAAGATGTTGTTTGGGCAGCCCCTTCAGCGTCGAAAGATGTTGTTTGGACAGCTCCTGCAGCGTCGAAAGATGTTGTTTGGGCAATAATTCACTCAGTACCCTGATTTGACGTCTCGCGACGTTGATAATGGATCATTTACGTAACAGGCGGATTCAGCGTCTCACGACGCCGATGATGGCAGAAAAGAGAGAAACATTTGTTGAGAATGTTAGAAGAGACGGCAAAAAAAAGACCTACAACCAGAATGCCGTGAGTAAATTGAGGAAAAAGACTTATCGGTGCGACACTGATTTAGGCAAAATTTAGTCGAAATTTTGTTCAGAATTCATGAGTAGAGAAAAATCACCTGAAAAATGGGGACGAGACTATGAAGGGGCAGAAAAGCCACTGAAATAGGAATAATATTGAGGAAGTGAATAATAAAACCCTCGGAGGCAGTAAAGAGACATTGCACATGAATACAGAGCAGAAAATAGCTGATCCGGGCATAAAAAAGACATGAGAACCTGAAAATAGGTGCTTGCAAGCACAAATGTTTAAAAATCAGGTCAAAATACGGTCGGAATAGTTGGCATCGAAGCCAAGAAGTATCCAGCGTGGCGAGAGAGCATTCAAAAAAGATGAAGACAGTCGGGGAACGTCGCGAAGTCGACAGAAGACAGAAATTCCGAGAAAATCTGAAAAGGAACAGGTTCAGTGCTTCCGAGATGCAAATATAGCTGGAACCAGTCGTTGTGTAGATGGCAAGAAGGGAAAAGCTGAAATTAGAGATTCTTTCCGATTTGAAATCGAATTCTACGCTATGAATTCATTGATTTTTTTTTTTCGTTGACCGATTCGAAAATCGCGAGGAAAGTTTTCAAACAAGCTGACAACGACACTCCGGCATTACGCTTTCGCGTCGCTTGGCGAGCGAAACAAGCGAAATCGAGTGAAGGCAAGAGAATCGAAACGAAGGCTTGTGATGGAAAAATGCGTTGAAAATGAGAAGAATATCGAAGAGAAGGCAATTGTAAGTCTATCTCGAAAAAAACGAGGAAAAGCTCAAAAAGGAGCACGGGTCATGCCCAAATTTTCATTTGGAAATTTATGACGGAATTCGAGAAGTTCTTGATAAAGTGGCTGATAAAGGGAACAAACATCTCATTTGAATGAGTTTTAGCTTCGCTTGTTAGCAATGAATTGCCTAACAGCGAGATCACTTGCTCCGATGAAAAATTTGCGAAGCCAAGTAAAAAAAGAAAATGTGACTAAAATCTATAATTGACAACTAAAGCGCGCAATATTCTGTTTTTCAGAGAGGATCGGAGCGGTGAAGCAAAGCGATGACAACAATCTTCGGAAGGAAGGTATTTGAAGTGAGAGAATGAAGAAATTTGCTGAAAACAAAGATCAGAAGTCGGCGGAAGAGTCAAAACAATATTGAATTCAACCTTTCGAATCGGAAGAGCCAAGAGACCCGAAAGGAAATTCGATGACAGATGATTGAAGATACATCGACATCGATTGCATCGATAAATAACAGAACTTCGATGGCAGAGAGAAACAAACATTTGGTGGCAGAAAAAGATTGCAACAAGTCAACAGTTGCGCGTCGGAACCTGAATAAAAGAAAGAAAGAAATGAGCCGGCAGCTAGAAGAGTAAAAATAAGAAAGGAGTGATGATAGGAATCGGCGAAAAGAAAATACAGAAGGGTGAAGACGACAAAATTGCAAAGAGGCAAAAATGCGAGAAGCCATCTCGAACTTGCCACGTCATAAGAAGTTAATAAGGAACCAAAGAAGACAAAGGAAGGGAAGCAGTGACACCGTAAAGGAAGATATATAAGTGGTGAGTATTTCAGTGTCACCGTTAAAAAATAGCTGAAAACCTGGAGATAGAGGGGAACCGCTGCTCAAAATTTGATTTCATTCTGATACAGCCGAAGCAAAATTAATTATTGATTCAGGCTGCGAGGAAGCGATGCTGAGAATTTGTTGACGGAAGCAAGCAAAAAGTGGAATAAAGAAAGCGAAGAAGAAAGGCAGAAGGACAGAGCCATCGTTACGAAATCGAAACTGCTTCGAAATCCACGCTTCAGACTCAGGAGGAAAAAAGACAAATAGCAGCGGCGAACAAGCAAATCGAATCGAACAAGAGTAGGCATGATATCATGGCTTAATGATGGATCGAAGACGATCACGAGAAACCGATAATGTGAGTAACCCGATTACATTGAAACATTCAAAGTAAATAATCAAAATGGTTACAGTCGTGCCGCGAACGCCGACGTCTTCGATGAGATGCTGCTGACACAACTTCGTGAAAGCAGGCTGGAGCAAGAGAAAGGCAGAGAGCAAGTACAGTGTGAAACCAGAGGCGATGAGAGGCACCGAGCGAGATCAGTGAAGAGCCAGAAGAAAGAAGAGGCACCAAAAGAAGGTTATCGAAAGATAATAATTAAAAGAATCGTCTGTTTTAAAGTCTTTCAAAATCAATAAAATGTATTGATAAGATGTTTGTATTCAAAATAGAAAGATTATTATAAAAAACAGAGAAGCCGAGCTGACAATGCAATCAGAAGAACAGTATTCAGTACCGATCATTGTATCATTAACTAGTATTGAAAATTTTTGAAATTTTTCGGATAAAGCAACATCACACCAAAAGAGTTCAGAAGAAGCATGAAGGCGGAAGACGAAAAAAAAAACATAAATCCTTTGTGTTTTGAAAGAAAATTCTAGGAATACAAATTAGTGATAGGATTCTTGTATTTAAAAAGCATATATGCCGAATGACTATGAGATAGGAAAAAGGAAAACAGGAAAAAAGTGCACTATCATTAGTTAGTATTGAACCTCATGTCGAACTGTCTTCTGATGCAGCAAATGAGAAAGGTGTCGTGATATGAAGGCAGAAGCATTGAGTAGAAAAGAGAGAAAAGGAACAGAGAGTAAAGAATATACTCGTGTTCTTGAAGAAAATGTTGAAAGAAAAGCAAAGTTCGGACGAGAATCAGACATGATTTGAAGAAGAAAATGGCGTAATTCTGCAACGATGAATTAGATAATAAGAAATGATAGGAATAACAGAGAAGGCTAGTGAAACACAACCAGCAAGAATAGCTGAAAAATTGGAAGATTCGGAAAATGGAATATTCCGAGTTGTAGAAGTTTTTGAGGATAGGAATTGCAGATGTTCAGCAAGTGCCGAAGGAGTTCAGATTTTCAGAGGATTCTAGAGAATTGAGGAGATTTAGAAAACAAATTTGAGAAGAATAATCGGACGAGGAGAGACAGTGAGACAACGAAAAGAATACTGTCGAAAGCGTCACGAATTTCAGAAAACATGATAATACTACTGAAAATTGTAGTATAGAGAAAATATGAGAAATTGAAGGGGAATAGGAGGATTTTAAGCGATTTGAAATAGTTTCGGTAATGTTGCGCGAGGCAGCGATTACTCGATCAGATTAAAAGAAATCGATTATTTTTCATTCAGAATCGTTGCATAAAAATTCAGAGATGCATTTGAGAGCCAACGATCAATTAGTTACCGATTACAATGAATGTTCAGAGAAGAAATGAGTTCTGATAATGCAGATTCCGAAAATTTTATTTAAAAATAAAGGGTTCTAATTTCAAAGGAATAGGAAGAGGTTGGAATAGGTAGAGGCGGACAATATAGGAAGTGAATACAGTTTGAACAATTAGGTCAGATTATAAGAAAGCATAAAACTTGAAATTAAAATTATGCATAAACCGTCCTGTTTGTGCGAACTAGTTGAGTTCAAAGGAGCTTATAGGAAGCAATATGGTCTAATTAAGATCACAGGAGATTCTAGGAAAGGAGAAGGGCATATAAAACAGAGGAAGAGTCAGATATGTAGTTGATAAATCTCAAGAGGTAAAGAAGGAATAATATGTCGAGTCAGACATGGCAGTAGAATATGGAGTCATAAAAGACCGTAAGCATTCAGAGTTTAAGCTAGTCAGGAATGACAGTTGATGATTGACAGGTTCGTCAAGAAGAATGGATTCCGTTTTCTGATAGGATTTTAAGATTTGAAGGAGGAGCCCGAGTGGCGCCGCAGTATCTAGAATAGAGAACCGAGGCAGAAATTATATTTAGGTTATTCTAGATTGAGGATATCAGGAGGGAGCCAAATGGAGCCCGCAGTATTTAGAACAGAAATAAGAGTCTGCTTCATTACTTCTGCTTTCTAAATTGAGGACAAGGAAAAGCACAAGAATTCTAGTTGCGACTGTGCTCTATAAGGAGAACAACATACGAGAAATTCTACAACGCAGTAGACATGGAAGTCGTAGCGAGTAGTCATACTGTATTGGTTGGGACTTATAGAGACTCGACAATGTTATGCTCGAGGTTACATTGTCAGTCTATCCGGAAACGGATAGACGGAGGTTTCAGGTCATTCTTCTGATAAGAATGAACAAGTTAAACAAGTCTACAGAGCGTAGAAAGTTTACCAGGAAGGATAGGAAGAGGGTGTGAAGGATGAGAGAAAGAGTGTCAAACGTAAGGGAGTTGCAAATCCCGAGCGGACATTGTTCTTCGAATCCGATGACGGATTGATGGAGGTTGAGGTCATTCTGAATGCAGAATGTAAGGTTCAGGATCTGAACGAGCTTAAAGAATAGTCAGTCAACGCAAGATAAATATGAAAAATCTGAATTGAGGCAGAGGATGGTGAATGAAGATGAGAGCAGTGTGATAGGTCGCGGAGAGCGCTGTCCAAAAATTCGGTACTGGAGACGACGAGAAACAGTTATAATGACCATATAATTGTATCTATAATTTCAGTTTCTTGAACCGTGTTTTAGATTTTTTCACATTTGCGTTCCATCTACTTTCACATCTTCTGATAACGCTTCCGTATCCACCAATATACAGTGGCGAACGTTGTTTCTATTTTTGGACTTCGATTGTGTTACAAAGCCACGCGTACAATGATCGGTTGAACTGACCAAGCTATTAAGCTTCGTATTGGATAGGTGACGAATTTGGCATCACGATTGATGCGCCAAGATCAGGATTACTGTCTGGGAGTAAAGACAGGAGTTCTGAAAGTGGAGGAATCCGAGGATGAATGTCTCCAAAAACATTCAGATGTGCAGGGAGCACTTCGAGAATTGGAAAGATTGGATTCGAGATCAGGTTGAGGCTGTAGTAGCAGGGGATGGAGAGGATCAGGATGAGGTGGAGGATAGGAAAGTAGAGAGAATTCACATATTGTTGAATTATGTGAATAGAAAGTCTGTCGGCAACACGACTCTCAAGTTGAAAAGTGTCGCAAATGACATGCAAGATATTGTTAATGCGCAGGCTGAGTGGCAGAGCTCACCGCCAACGTCGCCAGAAGACCTCGGAATACGTTTAGCGACTTTCGAGGCAAAAGAGGACGAGGAAGAGGTTCCTGCTCAAAATGGCACCACATCTAGTGGAACTGTGGACAAAAGGTCCCAGAACGCTGAAGTGATGCAAATTGAGCACTTCAACAGACTCATTTTGTTGGAGGAAAGAGAAGAACAGTTGAGCAGGAGAGAATAGCAAGCGAATGATTATGCGGAGATACAGGAACGCTTGGTGTTCATGAAAGAAATGAGGAGGAATCTGGGAAAAAAAAGAAAAATGAAGAAGGAGGGCAAGGAGCACCAGAGGAGAGAGAATAAAGTCCCAAAGGATTTGAAGTAAACGGAGGCTGATGATTCTGACTCGGATTTGGACTCAAGTTCAAGTTAGGAAAACGATGATTGTGGCACCACTTTTTCGGCATCTGAGGAAGAAGAACAGTTGAAGGATAGTAAGAAGGTGAAGAAAGAAAAGGAAAGGTGAAGGGAGATAAGAGATTTAAGGAAAAGAATGAAGAGGACGTAGTAAAGATTCTTGAAAAGGAAACCTCTCGAACTGAAGAAATTCGATGGATCCGATAATTCTAAATATGATGATTAAAAGACCAATTTTATAGAAGGAATCGGCAAAGATCCTAGAAATACAAAACTTAATGAAATGATCCAACTGAAGAGTCTGGTCACTGGGTTGGAAGAGAATGTCCTAGAAGGAGAGGAGTTGGAGGAAAGAGATTATGGGGTGGCATCCTCGATGAGAACTTTGGGGAAGCCAGCTAGACCATTGTTGGCACTTGAAAGAAAATTCAATAGGATAAAAATTGATCAGAAAATGAAAGAATTCAACAGGGAAATCGGAAGACGAAAAAAAAAACTGCCGGAAGTTATCGAAAAAAAACGAAAGAGCAAAAAAAGCGAGGAAAAAAAAAGCTGGAAGAATGAGGAAAAGTGCTGGAAAATGAGCAAAAATGTCGTTATTCAGCTAGCGACGCATCCAAACTTGACTCGGTGTCAAATTTCAAATCGAGGTTCCCTTCTGTGATGACGTGCAAACTTGAAAACCAGCTGGAAATTGATTTTCCGCAGAAAAAACATCGGATGTAGTAAGAAGCCGAAAATTGATCAGAAAAATTTCAAAAAAAAATATAAGAAAATATACCAGCAAGTTGAATTCTATCATCATTGATCTGAAAAATCGTGGAATTAATATGGACGCTCCAAGTGTGTACGATCGCTATATTGCCAAATTTCGGGATGAGAAGGCAGATCGTTTAACAGCTAAACTATGAGCGAAAGCTTCAAAAGAGAATTCTCGAAAGTCCACAATTTGAGATAAATGCCTCAACGTTGTTATACAAAGAAGAGTAATAGGTGCCAGAAGCTACAGTAAGCTGAATACAAATATCTATGTACCACCATTGTCAGAGAAAGAAAGTAGAAAATTAGATGAAATTGGAATAGATACAGAATGATTAAGAAAACTAGAACGGAGAAATAGAGAGATAATTGACAGGATAATTGGTACAGGCGTGATCTGGGATTTCTGAAAACAGCAGGGTACAGAAAATTTGGAGAATATAAGAGCATAGTCTGTAGAGTTAGGGATTCCAACCACATTTGATTGTAATAATCATGAGGAAGAACAAGAAGATAATAAGCGTTCGAATGTGAAGATGAAGAAGAGTCCATGAATTGTCTATGTTAGGGTGAGGATAAAGGAGAAGAAGAAATTCAGTCGATATTGGCATTACAGAGAAAGAGTTGGAAGAAGAAGATGTGTCCAAAATTGAAGAATCTATGGCGGAATCCAAGAAGGTGTCATAATGGAAAGAGAACCATAGAAAAAGAATAAGGAAAGTGGAATATTTAAAAGAAGGAAGGAAGAAGTAGGAAAACCAGATCAAAAAGCAAAACAAAGAATCACATATGGTGGTTGTGAAAATACAAAAATTGGAGATCTAGATAGTAAAGAAAAAATAGGAAGATGAAGGAGAAAGAGTTGGGCAGCGCCTTAAGACCAGGAATGGACCAGATACTCAAGATGAGAAAAAAAGGCTGGCCCTGGCAGTGTCGCGAATTCAGGTGACCGAATATCACCTCTTCCCGACTTTTTCTCCTTTTCAATGAATTCTTCTTTTATTCCCTGTATTTATGTAATTATATTCACCAACGCCGACGCCGCCCACAACAATGCCGATTTGAATCACCCGCCAATTTGAGGATTACTGTACCCTGCACATCTAACTCTCAACGCGAACCAAGGAATTGCGCCCGCTTTTGGGATCAATTTGGACTCTTCAGTCATTCTAGTTTCTCCCCCAAAACCCATGTTTCTCGTTCCTATTTTTACCTATATTTTATATAATATTATTCTGGTGTATTCTTGTCGGCAGAGATGATCTGGCAACAGAATCGTTTCCGTTGTAGGCAAAGTTAGGTCAATGAATTCGGTGTGTCTTAAATTCTGTGTTCTTGTTGTCTTTTCTCTCTTTTAAGGTTTGTTGTGTCTCTAGGGCTGTTTTAGAGCAGTATGACTGCAAAATAGAAGGCGTCTCCTGTTTCTTATCAGCACAATTCGTTTCTATTTGCTCGAAACTCTTCTCTTTCCTCTCTTATCATCTTCCTTATCAGCTGCATGGGATGGGATGTTACTTAAATTTTGATCTACTCATCTACTATATAATCGAACCCAGCGAGACTAGAATCAGTTCGGAAAATGAAACTGTTAATTTTCCTCTCCTTTTGCCTAGCTACTGTATCTGCTGGAAACAATACAATCTGCACCAGTGGCTTCACTTTGGTCAACAGCAAATGCTGGAAACTATACCCAGATCCCGCTAATCATACAATCGCTGAGAGGACTTGCACTAATGTTGGTGGCACTTTGTTCATGACCAAGAATGCTATTGTGAGTTCCTAGTCGAAAATGTGACTGCTGAAAATCCCTTTTCCAGGACAACAGAGCCCTCGCCTCGTTTGTTGATGGCAGCGGAGTTTCTCATGTTTGGATGGGCTTATTTTGCATAGGAAACGACAAAAGCTTCTGCTACTTTGATGACCAGAAAGGATCACCAACTACTTATAACAATTTCGCTCCCGGATTCCCAAACTCTGGAGTCGGTCGTTGTGTGTATTATTCTGTTCCTGGATCACCGGGTGGGCAGTGGATTAATGGAGATTGCACTGAGACGTTGTCATATGTCTGTGAGCTCCCACCTACACAGCCAGGTTAGTTAGTTGGGAACTCTATGAAAAGCGAGCCTGTGGGCTTGAACCTTCTGTGAAAAGTGAAAAAAGCGGTTCGGCTTTAGAGCGGACATTCACAGCCATGAGTTGCCGGCGACCCCCGGGTTGCGTAAAACTGTACTGACACGGGCGTCCCCGGCAACTTTTAGTCGGAGGTCCGGCAGATTACAGATGAGACCTCCACTAAAACCGGCCAAATTCTGGACTTGTCCCGCTAGACTGTTCAGAGGTTGCAAGCTGACAGCCGGGGTAAATAACCATATAAACTTTCAGACATTTGTGATATCAATTTCAACAACAACTGTTACTTCCGTCTCGAAGACCAATCCTTCAGCACAGCTCAATTGGAATGTCAACAGATGTGTGGAAACTTGGTATCAATTCATTCTGCAGAAGAGAATCGATTCATCACTTCAATCTACTCCCAATCTTCCTATGACTCAATTCGAATCGGAGGAATCGCCACCTCCAAAGATTTCATAGTTTGGACTGATGGATCGACAATGGACTATTCAAATCTGGAAGTGTTTGGAAGCAGTGGAAATTGCCTGTGGTTGTCGCTTCAAACGACTGAATATCACTCGAAGGGTTCTTGGTTTACTGGGGATTGCACTACACCTAAGCACTTCGTTTGCAAACGACCTATTGGAGATCTGAATTGTAGTGCAACTCCACCACCACCGACATCCGCCCCACCAACTCCGAATCCACCAACTTGCAGCACTGGTACTTATATGGCGCCTGGAATCATCGCTTCTCCAAATTATCCTGGCCAGTATAGATCCAGCTGCGCTTATACTCTTGCCACGTATGGTTCTAACAAAATTCGGATTACTTTCAACTATATATACACTTCCAATAGTGATGTAATTTCTATGTACGATGGAGATTCTGGAGATGCGCCATTAATATATCAACAATATTCAACTTACGGAACCACATTGAAAACATATATATCTACTGGGAACACAATGTATGTTTATTTCAAGTATAATTCAGGAGCAACATCTGGCTATTCTGGATTCAACGCAACATTTTACTCTGTATTTTAGCTTATTGAGCTTGTGTGCCTTGTCTGAACCAAATAAACATTATACGTTTGATTTAAAATTCTTCAATATACACAATATTTGTTGAACTTAAAGATGGCTTAACTTATTTACTGAATCAATTTAAAACATTATTTGAATATCTACGTTATAGTAAATGTTTATAGGATTAAAAAGTGGTTGAAGCTTTGTGAGAAATTTGAAAACTATGTGACGACATAATTATGAAAGTTTGAGTTGTATTCCTCTGGGGACGAATTTCTTTAGGATAATCTACATATAACTTTTATTGCTTTACCTTCTTTACCTGCCACTTTTATGAGGACATGTGTCAATAATTGTCCTCTTACGTCATAGAAAGTGTGAAAAAAAAGAGGCGGAGCTTTAGATCAAAAGTGGGCGGGACTAAGTTGGCCCACCTGGCTACGCCTACCTGTTAGATGGGAACTCAAAGAACCTTTTTCTAAATTTCGAACAAATTTTCGAACTTCCATCATCAGCTACTTTTAATACAAACCTTGCGCATTTTCCTGTTCCGATGATTATGAACCACCTATGACACAATGTGTGTAACTTTTGTTCGTTTTTCATATAGACGTTCTCACAATCAGGGAGGTAGATGATAAGAGATATTAGTAGAGAAGGTCATACTTTCATTTGATTTATTACTTGTCACTTTTTCCCTCTTTTTTTTCAGTTCTCCTCTTTTTATTCTCGTATTGACAAGTTTTTTTTTACGTTCAAGGGTTCAATTGGGTTTTTGTTGACTTACCGTAGACACTTTATTAGAAGGATACTCAAACCATCAACTTCGAACCCGTATATCTCATTTTATGTAAAAGATATCGAAACGTTGTCAACTGACAAAATATTTTCGATGTTATGATAAACATTTTATCAGTTAACCACTTTTGAATATCACTCACAGAAACCGAAATATATGAGCTCAAAGTTGGCATAAATTTTATTCAAATTCTTCAAAGGTCTATACAAAATTTCCAAAACTGTCAAAATCCCGATTCAAGGTTAATCCCTCTTCTTCGGGAAGGTGGAGAACAGAAGAACAGACATTTAATAAGCGGAAGATAAAAGGGAAAGTGTTACGCAATTCATAACAATTCATACATAAGTGTATAGAGAGATATAAAGATAAGATAGGAACGAGGTATAGTCGCGAAGTTCTTCTCTTTAAAGGCGCATATCTCCAAACAAAAAAAAATTCAAAAAATTGTCAATTAAAGAAACAAAGCACAAAACGATAACTTAATTTTTGTAGTTAGCAAATTTTTCCCAGCTACCGTAGTTTTGGAGATACGCGCCTTTAAAGTTGGCGCGCCCTCTCCTTTAGGTGCCTAACAGAGGAAGCGCCTAGTTTAAAGGCGCACATCTCAAAAACTACGGTAGCTATTGAAAAGTGGACAACTAAAAAAATATGTGAAATTTTATGCTGAAAAATTTTGTAGTTGACAACTTTTTGATAACTTCTCTAGTTTTCAAGATAGACAAACATTTGAAGGCGCATAGCTTCAAAACTAAGATCTTTAAGGAAAAGGTCCCCTATTTGGAACGCCCCTATTTGGAAGGCAATATGTTTTAGTTGTCTGCTCACCGTTTCCCCTCTTTTAAATATCTTGCCAACCTTACATGTTTACTATTTTCTTCCCCATTCTCTAGGTTCATCTCGTTAGGGATTTTATCTAGAACTCCCGTTATAACTTTTGTGTCATATTTTCTTCTGATCAATAAAGTATCAAAGGTCAACTACAGAATGAAGCTCAAGCCAAATTTCTTTAAACCCTAGTTTTTGAATTTGACCTTTCATTTTTTGGATCTTTGAAACTTTTTGAGCGCTCAATGTTGCGAGAACGAACTTTTGAGATTCTCATCTTGAGAACCTCTCCACTTAACTGGTCAAGAACACTAAACTGGGACACCGTACTCCGAAATTTCATCTTTTCGAGTCAATATCAAAAGTAATCCAAAATTAGAAATTTCAAATTAATTCCAAACCAATTAACACATACACCCCCTATTCCGTTTATCCTCCTCATTCCAAAATTCCTCGCCGCTTACCCATCACACATTTAACACACCGCAATCATTTTCTCCCCACCCCCCGGAGGACCCGCAGACAAAAACTCGTTCTTTTTTCTGACGATATCTTGTGTGTTCGGCATGAAAAAGAGGGGGGGGGGTTTAGCCACCCCCGAAATAGAGAGAAAAGCGATATCTTTTGTTTCATTATACTTCTGAGAGAGACAATGTACTAATTACGCAAGATGCTTATGACTTTTTTCTTCGCTTCTTTAAATCTTGCTCCTCCCGTTTTTCTGTAGTTTTGTAACTTTGACCCCATTGGCAGAAGTAAAACTAATAAGCATCAATTAGCGTTAAAGGGGGACTCCGACCAAAAATTTTTATTGCATTAAAATGTGTTAAAAGTTATCTATTTTCCGAATATTATTGCGAAAAAATTCAAAAAAAATCCGAAATCCCCGAAAAACGGCGTTGAAAAGGAAGAAAATTCAAAAAAAAGGTGCCGCCGGGGGACGAGGATTTTCAGTGAGAAACCTAGGCCACGGCACCTGACAGCCTTTTTTTTCAAGTCGTCGACAGTGGTTTTTTACCTTTTTTACCTGCCGGACATGAAATTGAAAAAAAAACCTGAAAAATTG